CATTTTTAAATCGTTCTTGAAAAATTTCACGTTCATGTAAGTACATCTGATTTCGCTACTCGCTTTATAGTGTATGTTTTATAATGTTTTTTCTTTTTCTTTTATTTTATTTTCTGTTTTTACGTGTTATTTTTACTCATTGTGCTCTATTTCATTTGTTGTAATTTTGTAAAAATTTTTTTTGAGTGCTCCTCACACTATTGTGTTAATATATTTTGCTTTGGCTATATTGATACAATATCAGAAAGCACTCTTTTTAACGGATATAATCGTGGGGGCTGATGAAAAGATTATATCTTTTTTTCCCGGTTTTTTAAATAAGATTTGTTATTGTTATTTTTTGTTATTTTTTTAATTATTATTCCCCCTCCCTTTTTTCTCATATGTCTATAATTTTTCTTCGTTTTATCTTCATTTTATATATATGTTGTTGTTGTTGTTTTTTCCAATCCCTGCTGGGATACCGGAGCTATAAAAGATCCATGAGGCCGTGAATCTTCAAAAAATCGAGGAAAAGGAGAGGTCTCTCAAGAACCTCTTCCATGGTGAAATCCAGGCAATCAAGTAGATGGTGAGGACTAGCCTCGCTGGAGTTGCACTTTTTACAAGATGGAAAAAGTTTAATTTGTCCACTGAAAGTGAGGCTCTTAGTATGCCCACTAACAAATCTACAGGTAGCCGTTTGGTCGGCACGTGTGCCCTGAAAGTCAAGGGCTCCTCTAGGACGCTTGCGGGGATACCGATTGTGATCCGGTGGAACAATCCAAGCTTTATTAACTTTAGATTTGCGGATAGAAAATAATTCAGAGTAAGTGAGGGCCGTGTTTGGAGAGGCAGGGAGGGAAGTACCTTCTTTTGCCAACTGATCAGCACATTCGTTGCCAAAAAGACCCACGTGCGAGGGTATCCACTGAATATGGATGTCATGGGAGACTGAGAGGGCATTTAATAAGCGAAGTATAGAGACCCCAGCCCGGTCTGTTACTCTCTCATAATTGCTCAGGTGCTGAATACAGCTACGACTGTCCGTGAAGATCCAGACATTCCCAAAAGTCGCTCTAGTCCTGATATTTTCCAGACCTGTTTGAATAGCAATAAGTTCACTGCGAAACACTGAAAAGAAATCTGGGTTTCTTGGTGATCTTGATTCGTTAACTTCAGCAGGATATATAGCGTAAATTCCACTGCCGGCGTGGTGATGATCGTCACCGCTACCTTCCGTGTAGATTTTAAGATCGTCGGCAGGGACAAGGCTTATTACCTCCAAAGCCAATTGCTTCAAGTACTCCGGGGGGTGGTTGCCCTTAGTAACCTCGGAGAGCAGTGTAGTATTGAAAAAAAACTCTGGGCAAGCCCGCAATGGGACATACAGGACTGCAGATGAATCATGCAGATGATATATATATATATAAGTTCAAAATGA